ACAAGAGGATCTATCACCTTTCTTGTAAATCGGTATGATCAACGACTCACACCATTCAGCTGGAACCTCCTCTCTTTCCCATATAGAGCCTAGGAGTTTTGTCAACTCCAAGACTAAGTTGAGTCTCCATCCTTAAACGCTGATGGGAGCAGCCCATCTGGGCCAGAGGCCCTATACCTTTTGAGATAACTTATTTCCCGGGTAACCTCCATTTCAGATGGAGGACTAGCATCAACTGGGAGTATTTGTCCAGTCGAGGCGGGAGCCACAGATAAGATCAGGATATATGATAGACACTAAGCAAGAGGAGGATGCCGCCAAGGTGACATGACAGTCGACACCCCTCAGAAGTTCTACTCCTATCAAATACCCCCTTGCAACCAATCGATGCATCCAAGAAGTGAGTAGGCAAGCATGACAACGGTGTCAAGTTCCGATCACACAGACGATGGATTGGTCTTCTGTATCACTGAATCGCCGCTGCTGCAGTCGGACGAATTCACTCAGCCTTACCATGTTTTCCTGTGTCTGCGTTGAATTACTCACTCACTTTCAACTTCCAGTTACCAACCTTCACGGATGATATTGCACACGAGAGTTATGAATCTGGAGATAACCGCACCTTCTGTACTTATTATCTCAATAATTCACTCCACAGTATCATCAATCCACGGCAGTGTCGTGTAAAGTCTACTAGGCCAAATGCTTCCCATCAAGCCGGGTTTACCAGCGTACTGAAGTAAAAAACATGAGGTAAATAAATAAATAAAGATCAAACCTCAAATTGTAGGGCAGTCCTGTAGGATTACCGTCCCCTGAGCGATTGAGACAATTAAACGTCTCATGTCAAGTGACGACAACAATGACTGCTGACTAATGGTCAATCGTACTCAGTCAAGGGTTACGGATCGAAAACACTCGGTGACTGTATTTGAGTTTGCACGCGTGCGTGCTTCAAATACGTGTGGGGACACGTCCTTCCGTCCGTCCACGTGTGTGTGTGCGCGCACAAACTGAAGCATGTTGTGTTTGTGTTCAACGGGTCAAGGGTGTGTGTGTGTGTTGTGTTGTTTATGCATAGTTGAGTGGATCGAACGGGCTCGAGGTGGTTGTGCATTGACCAAACAGGTCCAAGCATGCGATGCAACAAACAGTAAAGGGTTATCGGGAGACACGCAGATGGGTGCGAGCGGGAAGTTCGGGGAAATCGCCAACGAACAGTTGAACTGAGTAGAGTGGACCAGAAACAATGTGTTAGACGCAGAGCTGGATAGCATTAACCTGCCGGCAGTATACTACTTTATGCGTCATACTAATAACCTGTGTGGATATCCGATCAGATGCAGAAGCTGTTGCGAATGCGGCAGTTTTCAAACAAACACACCATGCACCATACTCATGGTGTATTTAATCGTTGGGTATTTGGCAGCTGAATATGTACGCAAATTGAGTTATCTCGATTTGTTCACATCTTCCAGATGTAATAGCGAAGTATCACAACCTAAAACTGAAACTATTCGAGCCAGTTCAGCGTACAATTGAGTGGATTGAATACCACCACAGCATATCCCAATCAATCAAGGCCAAGTGGACACGAAGAGCAGAACCCAGGGCTCGTTGAAATCCGTTTTCCGAAATGCACATCCCCCTCTCGACTATACTGGAGTGTTTTGAAAACAGCAGGCTTTTTAGTTGCACGAGGCCTCTTATGGCATTTTCAACGCACAGCTAAATTTTTCCCTTCGGCTAATCTTACAGTATTAAATGAATGTAATTCAGGATCGTAAAGGGTGCATGCATGCAAGGGTGCATTTCCTCAATAGCAATATTATAGAGTCAAACTATTTTAAAATTCGAACCTCTACTTCACGGAGCTTACAGGACACGCACTATTATTGGTTCTTCCGGCTCTCCCCTATCCGTTTCTCCCCGTTTTCACTCCCCTTATCTGTACCCAGATCCATGTCATCACCAAGTTGTTGTGAAATATACACAGCAGACACGAAGCAGTATATAGCCCCCGGGTCCCTGTTTGTTCTGTGATATGTCCAAGAATGAAGCTATGGTTTATGCGACCGTGGCGAACTCTGAAACCGAACCATTTCTATACTTGTGCTTTCTTTGATTCAATTGTACCCTATCTTAGGTCTAGACTGAACTGGCTCAGCACCCTCGTTTGTGAAACACCCCGCTCACTACAAAGTAGTGCTAAGTAGTTCTTGTATGTGATACGGGGACTGAAAACCTTCATTAACTTTTGTTCATCTGAGTCGCTTAAATCTGAATAATTGGTTTTTTGATTAAAAGGTAACTCCAATTAATGACAAGCAGCTTATTTGGCACAACTCAATTGTGCTACCACCTTTGTTTTTAGTTTTNGTCGCGTTTTATTATGACTGGGTGCTTTTAGATCTTGACGTGGTTCGATGGTTTGCGCACCTCTGACCCAACGAGCAACACAGGATGGCTTTTGTCAAACCAGGAGATCTCATACTTGGAAGGTTAATGGGTAGAGGCCAGACGAAATTCAGTTTCCTGGTCCTCCGGGTTT